CTTACCAGTCACAAAGTTCCCTTTATTTGGACTTCAGTTTCTCAAGATGCTTTTGACAAAGCAAAAAGATTATTGTGTACTGCACCCATTCTTCTGTCTTCAGACTTCTCCAAACCTTTCTCATTACAGGTTGATGCTTGTGAGTCTGGGGTTGGGGCAGTACTGTTGCAAAACGGGGCCAAGGAGTTGCAGCCTGTAGCCTTTTTTTCAGCCAAGTTCCAGCAGCATCAGAGGGCTTACTCTACCATTGAAAAAGAAGCCCTCGCGCTGGTACTGGCTTTGGAGCACTTTGATGTATACGTGGGACAAACTTCGCAGGTGGTCACTGTCTACAGTGATCACAATCCTCTAGTGTATCTCCAAACCATGAAGAACCACAACACAAGGCTCATGCGATGGACGCTAAGGCTGCAACATATTTTCTGAGAATTGTACATATTGCCGGCAAAGAAAATATATTGGCAGACTCTTTATCAAGAGTCTAACAATATTATTTATAATAATTATATATTAGGTTAGGATGTGTTAGGTTACTTGTGGTAACCCCTTCCAAGCTCTTTTTTTTATCCCCTGGTGTGGGTTTTTTTTTTTTAGTGAGGGGATGCGGGGTACCGTCCGCCCATGTCTTGGACCTAAGCTAGCCCGACTGTCTGCTGTCTCACTCTGAGTTTAGGGTTGGGCTTTTTGTCACGTGAAAAGCTGAGCTCTATCTAAGAGTTGGATGGTTGAGAGGAAAGGCGGTCCCATTATTTTGTGCCATGGCGGCACGGTTACCACTGGGAGGTGGGAGCCTAATCCTGAGCTTTCTCGGGGTGGGGGTGTGGCATGCAAAGAGTACGTAACCTTTATTCGGCGCATGTACACACCCTCATTTACAGGCTATCTCCCCCAACCAGCAAACCAGGTGACTGAGGGTTGACAATGGGGCCCCGTCGTTCAACCAGTACCCAGGTTCCAGCCAATGAGAAGATGGTTTTGGCAATCACAGAGGTTATGTGGGTACCACTCTCCTGCCTGCCCTTGTCATTCCCATTCTAGAGCTGGTTGAAGCACGGTCTGCTCTCTAGTGGCTTCTATTCTGCCTTGCTTACCGTGGAATGCACTAATACCTATCACTGTACAGTGTATATAGTGTACATACTTCTGTTCTAAATTGGTGAAAGATAATATAAGTCAAAAGTTTTCTGCTGTGTTTATTATTTTGCTCCCTTTACACCCAGGATAACAGGCCATTTGGACTCCTGGGTTATAATATTTTCTCTTTCCATTCTCCTTGTATCCCATCTACCTTTTACTCTTACTGTGGCTACAACTAAAAAGTGATCTGATACAACTGTGGTCTCTCTATAAACATGTACATCCTGAAGTCTACCCAGCAGTCTTTTATCTACCAATACGTAGTCCAACAAACTACTGTCATTTCGCCCTACATCATATCTTTTATATTTATTCATCCTCTTTTTCTTAAAATATGTGTTACCTATAACTAAACCCCTTTCTATACAAAGTTCAATCAAATGTTCCCCATTATCATTTACACTTGGCACCCCAAACTTACCTACCACACCCTCTCTAAATGCTTCTCCTGCTTTAGCATTTAGGCTCCCTCTCACTTGGCTCAGGAGTTCCTACACTCACTTAACATCTCCCAAAATCTCTCTCTCTCTTCTACACTCCTCTCATCTCCAGGTGCATACACACTTATTACAACCCACTTTTCACATTCGACCCCTATTTTAATCCACACATTCCTTGAATTTATACATTTATATTCCCTCTTCTCTCCATAACTGATCCTTCAACATTGTTACCCCTTCCTTAGCTCTAACTCTCTCAGATACTCCCGACTTAGTCCCATTCATTTCTCCCCACTGAAACTCGCCTACTTTCTTCAGTTTTGTTTTCCTTAGGGCTAGGACATCCAACTTCTTTTCATTCATAACATTAGCAACCATCTCTTTCTTATCATCCTCACACATTCAAACATTCCAATTTATAGTTTTTCTTTTCTTTGTTTTTAGTAATTTATACATGAGAAGGGGTTATTAGCCCACTGCTCCCAGCATTTAGTCACCTCTTACAATATGTACATAAGTGTACATTTCTGTATATAAACATTTGAAGGAAAATACAAGTTAAAATATTCTGCTGAGTTTCTTTTGCTCCAACTCATCACGACCAGGTCAACAGGCCAACAATACCTGTGTTCGTAATAGTGGACAAGTTTGGGAGGGTGTGTAAAGGTAGACAATTGAAAGTGATTATAAGGTGATGAGGGTATCAAACAATTTAGATAAAGAAAAACTGGATATTACATTGGAGAGAGTATGGAAGAAGTGACTGTTTTCAGATATTTGGAAAATGACTTGTCAGCGGATGGGTTTATGAAGGATGAGGTAAACCACAGTATTGATGAAGGAAAAAAGGTGAGTGGTGCACTGAGGTATCTGTGGAGACAAAGAACATTATCCATGGAGGCAAAGAAGGGAATGTATGAGAGTATAGTGGTACCAACACTCTTATATGGGTGTGAAGCATGGGTTGTAAATGCTACAGCGGGGCGGCAGCTGGAGGCAGTGTTGATGTCGTGTCTAAGGGCAATGTGTGGTGTAAATATTATGCAGAGAACTTGGAGTGTGGAAATTAGGAGGAGGTGTGGAGTTACTGAAAGTATTAGTCAGAGGGCTGAAGAGGGGCTGTTGAGGTGGTTTGATCATTTATAGAGAATGGAAACAAAGTAGAATGACTTGGAGAGCATATAAATCTATTGGGGAAGGAAGGTGGGGTTGGGGTCGTCCCCTACAAGGTTGGAGGGAGGGGGTAAAGGAGGTTTTGTGAGCGAGGGGCTTGGACTTCCAGTAAAAGTGCATGAGCGTGTTAGATCAGAGTGAATGGAGACTAATGGTTTTGGGGACCTGACGAGCTGTTGAAGTGTGAGCAGGGTAATATTTTGTGAAGGGATTCAGGGAAACCAGTTAGCCGGATTTGAGTCCTAGAAATGGGAAGTACAATGCCTGAACATTACAGGAGGGGTTTAGAACATTGGCAGTTTGCAGGGACCTCTAAACTGTCGTATCTGAGCACCTCTGCAAAGACAGTGATTATGTACGAGTAATGGTTAAAGTGTTGAATGATGAAAGTTTTTTCTTTCTTTTTGGGTCACTGCCTCAGTGGGAAGCAGCCAATGTGTTAAAAAAAAAAAATTTGAAACATTCGATGAACATACGATGAACATCTCACTGGGAACTCAAATAATTCGGAGAGAAATTATCTACTGTATATAATGCAAGCTAGTCAACAGTAAAGGAAAAAGCAGAAGTAATAAAAAATTAAGATTAAGATGAATAGTAATTAAGTGGAAGATTGAAAAAATGGTAAGGCATCTTATTTAACCCTTAAACTGTCCAAACATAGATCTACGTTCACATGCATAGTGCTCCAAAAGTACATCTACATTTGTTTACATTTTTCAAAAAAAAAAAAAAAAAAATCAGTTTTTTACACACTTTCAATGTAAAAAAAAAAAAAGATCTATGTTTTTACATACTTTCAAATGTTGAAAAAATGTAGATCTACGTTTGGACAGTTTAAGGGTTAAAATACAGCATTTTGAGGCACTGAGCAGCAAAAAAGCGTAAGTGCCAAATTTAATCAAAGGAGAAAGAGCTGGAGTGTGGGAGATTGGAACCATGAAGCTCCAGTTACCACACTTTGTTATGGGGTTCTGAGCCTAACTTATAGATGTAGAGGACAATATCGACATATTCCCACAAACAGGCTAAAGACTAAAGAATCGATTTGTTCACTAACCCAGATTTTGGCAGCAGCGGTGCTTATTCTTTTCCGCCACACAATGTTCCTTTTATATAAATGGTGAGTATTATGCATAGGATAGAAAAGAAAATGCTAAGTTAACCCTTTGACTGTTTCAGGCCCCTCTCTGAAACTGTCATTCTATGTCGCTCAATTTTTGAAAAAAAAAAAAATTTATTTTTTCTTATGAAATGACAGAGAATCTTTTCCCGATGGTAATGACACCAAAAGTTCGAAATTTGGTCAAAAACTCATGGAATTATGCTCCTGCGAAGTTAGCGGTCTCGGCGACATATGCGTATCGGCGATTTTGCCGACTTTGAGCCCTATTTTCAGCCAATTCCATTATTCCAGTTGACCAAACTCATAGCTATTTCTTTAGAACTCCATTTTATCTATCAGCTGAGTACAAAAAACCTCCCATTTACTAATTTGGACTACCCAATATGGTGGTCAGAAATTGGCAATTTGGCCAATTTCACGCAAACTAAAAAAGATGCCAATTTCAAAATAGGGTCCAGAATAAACAAGGTAGACATTCGTGGCACTAAAATAACATATGCTCTGTTCATTAGTCACATCTCTAGGCCCCTCATATATTATTAATGCTTTCTATTTTGATTTTTTATTCATACAAAAAAATACAAAATTTACTGTTATGCAGACTACTGCATTATTGTAAAAATGGTATAAATAATATCAGTGAACTAGTGAAAGAATATTAGACTCCCCAGTTGACATGTATTGGACATGTGGTGTGATTTATTTACTCCTGAACATCGGTAAAAATCGAACATTTCCGCTACTTTGAGCTCAGTTTCAAGGTCATTTTCATCGTCTAAGTAATGAAAATCATCTCTATTTCTGTAATATGTTTTCCATTTTATCACCTAAGACCATGAAAACGCGAATACAACAATAAATACTATACGAAAATACACCTCAAAGTCGGCGTTTTATTCCAAAAAAACTATCAGTTTTTTTTTCTCATTACGCAATGTGTGCTGTAGGATTTTTTTTATGTGGTGCACACTGACCACAGACCCATTCTCTCACGTGTGGGACTACCAGCTTTCTCCCGCTTGATATGAAGCCGCTAGAATTATTGAGTATATATACGTCAGAAACATTGGCTCGTAAGACGTATTTATACGTCGAAAACAGTCAAAGGGTTAATCAAGTCCAAATACAAAATAGCTTAATTATACACCAGCATTATTATTAGTTACCTGTATGGCATCGTAAGGTATTGTACGTGTACGCCCTTCAAGAGCTTCTTCAAGAGTGTAAAGATTTACTTGTGCTAACCACTTCATAGCTACTTTGAAGACTCTGTCTCGGCCCTCCCCTGGCAAAGTTACCTGCAAAAGAATTGCTTTACAATTGATATGCAGATGTATGCAGTCCTAAAATACTATGATAAGCTTTAAAATTTTTCATAAAAAAATTAAAACAAAATAAATTAGTTTTATTGTTATCCTATCTCCAAAGATACTTATGGCATTTTTATAAGTTTTCTAGTTACTGTAGGTAATTGGCAAGAAACTGGGAGAAAGGTGTGCTATAGCGAGAAAAATTAATGAGATCTAGGAGATACGTTGTTAAATTAAAAATGCAGTGCTAATGTGTACAGTAGATATTTGTAGTTATAGAAGGGTTGGTGAAGAAGGGAAAGATAAATAATTGGTGGAATGACTAGGTAAACAGGGTAATACTCCCAGAGTAGGGTTACCTAGTTATCTATAAAAATAAAAATACTATATTACAGACTAACATTCAGTGCACATGAAGCAGATTGTTCTCCCATATATAAATGTAAGTGCAGAGTACTTACCTCCAGTTCCATTTTTTCATTACCAATAGGTAATGGATCCCTTGTATATAAATTACTTCTCCCATCGAAGACAGGCTGAAAAGTTAAGAAAAAAACGTGTTTAATACTAATTATGCAGGTTTAAAAAATGTTCAAATAACAGATATATATTTATTACCTTCAGTTTCCAGAAATAATTATGAAAAAACCCACAAAATATACCTATTGCAACAACAAAAAGTAATAATGGAAAAACAGAGAAAAAATGTCATTCTGAATTTTCATAATTATCACAGGCCAGAATCTGAGAGTAGACCTCCTTGCAAAATCAATCTGTTATATGAGACTGTCAAATAGTTTTTAGCTATCTTTGTTCTGGCAGCTATATAAAGTTGCTTTTTTTTTCTGCCTCCCTCCTTACTCTGATATACTCTTCACTAGCTCTCCTACTTAATTATGTTCACCAGTGTCTTGTGCATCATATTTTTTCCTCATATTCTTAAGTTTGGTTTCTGTAAACATGTCAAATTCTTTTTCCCAGAAATGAATCTCTTCACTGCTTCCCAGTATTTTTTGGGTAAAGCAGTTCATTATAGCTTGTGGAATCAGTCCAGAGAGCATGATGATCTACTGTATCATAAACAAGAACACACTTCTCTATGCTGGTCTCTCAACCTGGTTCCTTTTTCCTTTAGTAGTCATACCTAAACTACAGTGGCTGGAAAAATAATCCATCCCTCTTCTTTGTTACTAAAATCATTAAAAAGCAACAATATAAACATTATAGAACAAAAACTGTAATACATGGTGTGGTACCTTAACTTTGATGAGTTTCAAGTCTTACTACTCATTATTTTCTGTTTTTATTAACACATCGGCTGCTTCCCACCAAGGCAGGGTGGCCCGAAATAGAAAAACTTTCATCATCGTTCACTCCATCAATGTCTTGCCAGAGACATGCCTACACTAGTTATAAAACTGAAACATTAACAGCCCTCCTTCAGAGTGCAGACACTGTACTTCCCATCTCTAGGAATCAAGCCCGACCTGCCAGTTTCCCTGAATCCCTTCATAAATGTTACCTTGCTTACACTCCAACAGCATGTCGAGTCCTAAAAACCATTTGTCTCCATTCGCTCCTGTCTAACATGCTCACGCACGCTTGCTGGAAGTCCAAGCCCCTCGTACACAAAACCTCCTTTACCCCCTCCCTCCAACCATTCCTAGGCAAACCCCTACCCCACCTTCCCTCCACTACAGATCTGTATACTCTCAAAGTCATTCTAATCCGTTCCATCCTATCTACATGTCCAAACCTTCTCAATAACCCTTCCTCAGCCCTCTGATTAATAGTTTTGGTAATTCCACACCTCCTCCTAATCTCCAAACTACAGATTCTCTGCATTATATTCACACCACACATCCCCCCCCCCTGTCACAAGGCCAAAAAGTAACCAAGTGGCTTGCTGAGAAAAATATTGTACCTGCAGTGGATCAAGGACATTTGGGTCAACCAGTTACCATTGATTACTTCAGGAACCTGAGCGAAAGCATGCCCAAATTGCTTCAAATGATCAAGCCCAAGGGGGAGATGAGAAAGTATTAATGTAGTACGAGTAGTTTTGGTAATCCCACACCACCACCTACAGATTCTCTGCATTATATTCACACCACACATTGCCCTCAGACATGACATTTCCACTGCCTCCAGCCTTCTCCTTGTTGCAACATTCACAACCCATGCCTCACTACCAATGCTCTTGTATGGGTGTAAGGCATGGGTTGTGAATGTTGCAACAAGAAGGCTGGAGGCCATGGAGATGTCATGTCTGAGGGCAATGTGTGGTGTGAATATAATGCAGAGAATCCGTAGGATGTGGTGTGGGATTACCAAAATTACTCATACTACATTAATATTTTCTCATCTCCCCCTTGGGCTTGATCATTTGAAGCAATTTGGGCATGCTTTCACTCAGATTCCTGAAGTAATCAATGGTAACTGGTTGACCCAAATGTCCTTGATCCACTGCAGGTACAATATTTTTCTCAGCAAGCCACTTGGTTACTTTTTGGCCTTGTGACGGGGGGGGGGGGGGCAATATCATGTATAGAGGTGGTGCAGCCGTGAATTTTGAAAATATTTAGCAGGTGGTCCTCGAGAATGATGTAGCAGTCGGCATTCATTGTAACATTTTGGGAAGGAAGTACGGACCCCAATGGCCAAATAAACCATTAAACCTACCCCAAATCATGATGGATTGTGGGTGCTATATGATGCTCATTAAGTATGCAGGGTCATACCTGCTGATGGAGGAGGGGCGCTTCACCCTATTGTGACTGAAATTGGGATTTATTTATCACATGATTTTTTCCAGTAACATTCCTTTGTACATATTTCCTGGCAAATTGCAGGCATTTCATCATCATACAGGGCATAAGTAGGGATTTCCTTGCAGTATGACAACTTGGCAGGCAGAAGTGCTGTTGCAGGCAGTGTTGGCTGAACTGGATGAAGAGGTCATCTAAGAGTTCCGGATGCAGAGTTGTGATGCAGTCATATGTGGATTTCTATATATGTAGCTCTAGAATGTTATCAGTGTTTAGATTTCCTCCTTGGCTGTCCAGTTTTGCAGCTGGATGATATCTGGTGGCAGAAAGTAATGCCACTGTACTGGACTTCACTTGTCCAATACAGTGGCAAATTTCCTTTATGGCGATTTTTTTGTCTCCACGGGCCCATGGCTAGGCTCCAGGATTAGAAAAACTCTCGGAACTCAAAGGTACAGTTATATCTATTCATCTTTAAACAGCTCATAATTATCCACTTCGCATAAAATTACACAGCACTAAATAGAGCTCCAAATCCTGGCACTTGGGGGTAAAGCAATACAACAAAGCACCTAACTGCCATATGCAGGTGCACTGAGAGGTGATACATACTGCAGTCTCTTGTATTAACTTAAGAGCGTTGACAGATACCTCCAGAAATCATTCAGATGAAGTGGAGCATCAAATATGCTTTGTACTGTTTATAATGGAGGAAGGTCCAGATTATTACTGCCTGTCACAAAGCCAAAAAAGTAGCCAAGTGACTCACTGAAAAAAAATACTAGGGTTTTACAGGGCCAGGGAATAGTTCAGACCTCAATCCTATTGAGAATGCTTGGATATCATGAAAGGGAAGATGGAATCCTGTCACATTTCATCTATATCATACCTGCAGCAGGAGATTAAGGACATTTGGATCAACCAGTTATCCACTGATTACTTCAAGAATCTGAGTGAAAGCATGCCCAAAAGACTTCCAATGATCATCAAGCCCAAGGAAGGGAGAAAATAATGTCAGTATCAAGTATTACAGTTCTTATTCTATGATGTTTATAATGTTGCTTTTTTAACTATTTTCATAATAACAAAGACAGGGGTCCAGATTATTTTATGCAGGCACTGTAACTATGGTACTGCATTCCAACATTAATATAGTGGTCATTTGTTCCCCAGGAAAACTCAGCTTATTCCTACTATGACTTGACTGGGAGAATAAAATTTGTTTTGGCTGATCATCATCTCCCCTTCATTTCATGAGTTCTTTATAAGGATGGGATAATTTTTTTTTTTTCGCTAATACCGATACTTAATTTTAGGCCAATACAGTGGACCCCCGCATAACGATGGCATCACATAGCGATTAATCCGCATACCGCTTACTTTAATCGCAAAAATTTTGCCGCGCATACCGATTAAAAACCCGCTCACCGATTTTCGTCCGAGACGCGTCCAATGTGCGCCCTCAGCCAGCCTCACATGTGCCGCCCGTGCCATTGTTTACCAGCCAGCCTCCGCGGTAACATCCAAGCATACACTCGGAATATTTCGTATTATTACAGTGTTTTCGGTGCTGTTTCTGGAAAGTAAGTGACCATGGGCCCCAAGAAAGCTTCTAGTGCCAACCGTACACCAATAAGGGTGAGAATTCCCATTGAAATGAAGAAAGAGATCATTGATAAGTATGAAAGTGGAGTGCGTATCGCCGACCTACTCAAGTTGTACAAGAAACCCCAATCAACCATCGCTACTATTGTGGGCACCAGAAAGACAATCAAGGAAGCTGTTCTTGCCAAAGGTTTAACTGTGTTTTCGAAACAAAGATCGCAAGTGATGGAAGATGTTGAGAGACTCTTATTGTGTGGAAAATGAAAAACAGCTAGCAGGAGATAGCGTCTCTCAAGCGATCATATGTGAAAAGGCTAGTAAGTTGCATGAACGATTTAATTAAAAAAAGCCTGCAACTAGTGATGATTGAGTGAATATAAGGCCAGCAAAGGTTGGTTTGAGAGATTTAAGAAGCGTATGGCATCCATATTTTGATAAGGCATGGTGAGGCTGCCAGTTCGGACCACAAAGCGGCTGAAAAATATGTGCAGGAATTCAAGGGGTACATAGACAGTGAAGGACTGAAACCTGAACAAGTGTTTAATTGTGAGAAACAGCCTGTTCTGGAAGAAAATGCCAAGAGGACCCACATTTCTCAGGAGGAAAAAAGCACTCCAGGACATAACCCATGAAAGACAGGCTTACTTTGTTGGTGTGCCAATGCATGGTGATTGCAAAGTTTAACCCTTTTTATTAGTTATCACTCAAAACCCCCAGAGCGTTCAGGCAAAAAATGTCCTCAAGGAAAATTTTGTGTGTGCTGTGGAGGGAAAAATAACATGGCCAGGGACTTTTTCTAAAACTGGTTACACCATGCTTTTGCCCCCAATGTAAAAGTTTACCTAAAAGAAAAAAAATTTAAACCCTTAAAAGTCCTCCTGGGGTTACAATGCCCTGGTCATCCTACAGACGGGCAGAGCGACTTTTAGGGGACATGAGTTCATTAAAATGAAATTTTTGCCTCCTAAAACCACTCCTCTCCGGGACCCTGACCCGCAGGTTATTGCAAACTTCAAAAACTGTACACAAAAACTCGTTTGAAAGGGCTTGTAGTGACCTCAGAAACTCAAGACCTAAAAGTTTTTGGGGAGAGCACTTTAATATCCTCAATTGTGTAAACCTTTTAAAATAAGGCTTGGGGGGAGTGACTAAGAAGAACCCTTAAATCTGCTTGGAAGAAATGTGGCCAGAATGTGTAGACAAAAGGATTTGAAAGGGTTTGAGGCTAACCCTGAGAATCCTGTGCCCGTTGAGGAAACCCTTTTGGCATGGGGAAACCTTGGGGGTTTGGGGGTTAGTGGGGGGGTTGGGAAAAGTTGGGGGAGGAGGACAATGAAGAAATAACCAGAGACTGAAAGATCAACTTCAAGGGCAAGAGGCCCAGACCTGGGGGAAAAGGTTCAGAGAGGGAAGAAAATTAAGAAGTTCCTACTACAAAAAATAAAGGGAAAACGTGCAAGTGGTTGAAATGCAAACCCATGGATGAAAATCACCCCACACAGCTATTGCAAGCCCTGCTGGGATTTTTACATTGACAATGTTTTGAAACACTTTAGGCAAGTCATAAAGGACGAGAGGTACAGGCCACTATGGACAGATATCTTTGCGAAAGAAGTCCAGTGACTCTGAAGCTGCCCTAGTGGCATTAAAAGAAGAAGGGAAGTAACCCCAGAAAAGGACTTGCTACCTCAAGTCCTAATGGAAGGGATTCCCCTTCTAAACACTAACACACTCTCTCCCCTCCTCCCATCCCATCAATCATCACCAGATCTTCAATAAAAGTAAGTGTCATGTAATTGTGCATGCCTTTTTCAGTTTGTGTGTATTAAAATTAACATTTCATGTGGTAAAAAATTTTTTTTTCATACTTTTGGGTGTCTTGCATGGATTAATTTTATTTCCATTATTTCTTATGGGGAAAATTCATTCACATAACGATTATTTCGCATAACAATTACCCCTCTTGCACGGATTAAAATCGTTAACCGGGGGTCCACTGTACTGATACTAAACAAAATTGGCCAATAATCATCTATACCGATAAAGTGGCACACCCCTAGTTCTTCAAAACTGTTCGTAACTGTCTCCAGTTAATTTTTTCTTTGTCTCTTGAACTACCCATAAGGGTTCCAATTCAGAGTCTAATTACCAGTAAGGATTACAGGATAAAATTGTGTATTTGTGCTGCTTTCGAATCACAGAATCATTCGTTTACATAATTACTTAAGCAGTCACAAAGTATTAAGAGTAAATTAAATGCTTCTGAAAATAAAAATATGCAAGAGAATACCAAAACCTGAGCATCTATTTTCATGAAAATAAGAAATACAGTGGAACCTCGTTTTTTGGCTGTAATCCGTTCCAGGTCAGCCTAAATTCAAAGCAATATTTCTCATAAGAATTAGCATAAATACAGTGGAACCTTGGGTTACAAATGCCCTACGACGACGACGACGACGCTGCTGCTGCTGCTGCTGAGGCGGCTGCGGCTGCTGCCTCCATGCTACACTCCCTGCTACTCTCCCTGCATGCCTGCTACACTCCATGCCTTCCTTCCACACTCCCTGTTTCCCTGCTACACTCCCTGCATGCCTGCTACACTCCATGCCTGCCCACTACACTCCCTGCCTGCTTGCTGCATTCCCTGCAAATGATGGCTTATTTCACAGTCACACTTAACCCTTTGACCGTTTCGGCCATATATAATACTCTTACGAGCCAGTGTTTCAAACGTATATATACTCAATAATTCTAGCGGCTTCAAATCAAGCAGGAGAAAGTTGGTAGGCCCAAATGTGAGAGATTGGGTCTGTGTGGTCAGTGTGCACTGTATAAAAAAATCCTGCAGCACGCAGTGCATGAGAAAAAAACTCCGACCGTGTTTTTGGATTAAAACACCGATTTTGAGGTGTATTTTCCTATGGTATTTATGGTTGTATTTTCATTTTCTTGGTCTCATTTGATCGAATGGAAAACACATTACAGAAGCAGAGATGATTTTGATTAGCTTCACGATGAAAACGACCTTGAAATTGAGCTCAAAGTAGCAGAAATGTTCGATTTTTACCAATATCCGGGGAGTCTAATATTCTTTCATTAGTGTACTGACATTATTTATACCATTTTTACAATAATGCAGTAGTCTGCATAACAGTAAATCTATTTTTTGTGTGAATAAAAAATCAAAATAGAAAGCAAGAGTAATATAGGAGGGGCCTGGAGACGTGACTAATAAACAGAGGATATGTTATCTTCGTGTCAAGAATGTCTGCATTGTTTATTCTGGACCCTATTTTGAAATTGGCATCTTTCAATTTCTGTGAAATTGGCCAAATTGCCAATTTCTGACCACTTTACTGGGTAGTTGAAATTGATAAATGGGCAGTTTCTTGTACTCAACTGACAGAAAAAAAAATGGAGTTGGTCGACGAACTATGGAATTGACCGAAAATAGGGCTCAAAGTCAGCAAAATCGCCGATGCGTATATATTGCCGAGATCGCTAACTTCGTGGGAGCGTAATTCTGTAAGTTTTCGATCAAACTTCGTACTTTTGGTGTCACTGCCATCGAGAAAAGATCATTTCATAAGAAATTTTTTTTTTTTTTTTTCCAAAAATTTTCGACACCAGGAGACACTTCAAGATTTGGGGTTGCGACAGTCAAAGGGTTAAGGAAATGTTTGGATGAATGTGCAGAGTATATATTCACTCGCTGACAGACAAAGGGAGACCAACTCACCTATGCGCGGTGTCCTGGGCTGACATGTCTAATACAGCCAATACACGAGGCAACAGTCAAAATACAGAGCAAAATTTCCGCCGAAAAATTAGCCTAAATACGAATCAGCCAATAAATGCAGCAGCCGGAAAACGAGGTTCCACTGTACGAATATGATTTAAAATCCTTCCTATGAAGAATTTTATAAATAGCAAAATTACTGATTTGCTTACCTTTAAGCTGCCAAATATTCTAGGAAAGGCATGGACCATCGTTTCAATAATTTCTCTGTTGACTTTCCGAGGGCACTTATCGGGTTGAATGCTTACATCATAGTGATGAATGTAGCCTCTGGGCATAGATATCTGGAAGTGATTGGCCCGTAAGGTGATGGGCCGTCCTTCACGGCCTAGGTTGGGACGTCTCGGTGCTACAAATGCTTTTAAATGGAAATATAGAAATTAATAAACTGCAGCCTGCATATTCTGTACTTAGTAATAAGCAATGTACTAATTTCTTGCTCCTTTTCAGTCAATTATTAATCTCTCAATTACTTTGTCTGAAAACCTTGTAGCTTACACAAATGAAATTTTGTAAAGATGAAGGAGGAAGAGGAAAGAAAGGCTTAGGGGCAGGTAAAGAGGGAGGAAGGGAGGGAAAGAGGTGAATCAAAATAAGGAAAGAAGATACCTCTGAAATACAGCTTAAACTTCAGCCTTTTACCTAAAACTTACTTGGTAATTCTGGTGGTAAAAGTGCAGTAATGCCAGTTCCTGTGGCCACTGCAGGTGTACCAGCAGCCTGTGGCACAATTGTGGTGATTGGTCCTGGTGCTGGAGTGGGCCCAGGGGGTAACGTCAAGGGACGAGGCACCGGGGGGCCAGCTGGTCCTGGGGGTCCCCCCGGGCCGGTTGGTGGGCCGGGGGGGCCAGGAGGACCAGGTGCTATAAAAAATACACTTTGTTACCACATATAACTGCTAAGTACATATGTATGTATCAAGCTGATTAATGTGTTATCAAAATTCAACCTTCCTCAAAGTCATTTTCACCAGGTTTTTAAGAATTAAACATAATTCTTGTTTTATTTATCCTATCCTACTATGTCATTACTTTTCATTCCTTAAATACAATAATTACCTTTTGTCATTCCTTTGCCAATGGCTATGGACAAAGCTCTTTTTAATGTACCACTGAAAATTTGGATAAGTTATGAAAATATGATTAGGTAAGGCATATCATCATGTAATGTCACTAATCATATATGGCATCCCTTCACCAATTACAGGCTCAGGAAATGGGGACTATAACCATATCCTGGTGAACGCATTTCTCAACTTCACTGCCAAAAGCACGGATATGTACCGTACGACCCAGCCATGCCAAATACAGTACGTACTGGAAACTCAAGCAAGGACTAAAGCTTATCTTTCAAACACATCCCTGGGAAATTATAAATCACATTTCACCCTACCTTGATTATTATTAAATTACTACCATTTTATATTTGAAGGGAATTCTTAAACCCATCAAATTCAAACAGAGCCTGGGAAATGGCCAATATGCTTAAAAAAAATTTTAACTGATAAGAGCAGGCTTTATAAAATTAGTCTGTACACTAAATGAGCTTCAAAATATTTTTGAAGATAAATTTACTTACGGACCAGATTTTATAGGTAAAATTCAAATGACTGTATTCAGTATTAGAAACCAACGATTAACAATTTCCCAGAGTTGTGTCAAAAAAAACTTATTGATTTTTTTTAGTAAACCCGATAATACAAGCAAGAAAAAATACATTGAATACCAAGACCAGAAAGCATACAATAAGCCTATGTACAAACCCAAAACCTAATCAATGTTTCAAAGATCTAAGAAGGAACATGCACAAATCAATAACATTACTGTACAGTAAACTCTTTAAAAACAGGTATTTTTGGAAATAGCCTAGTTATTTTTTTTATTTATTTATTTAATGTCTTTGCAAACAGTACATTGAGATTGTGTATATACAATAGTGGGATGCAATGCAAAGAGATCCTCTATTATGCCTTGGCATTATGGGCCAACTTAACATTATTGGCTTACATTCTACTTAATACTAAGAAATAGTATATCATAGTTGTAATTCCTTGAGAATATTAACTATCAACATCATGTTTATCTTTTCCTTACCATTCCTAGAAATCTTGGGGTGATCCTCCCCAGCTTTCCAGGACTGGACATGAAAAGTTGGGCAGAGGTTGTGAGCATTTATGCTACATTCTTACAGTGCAATGCATGGGCACTGTGGGAAGTAATACCACGTCAGAATTTCTTTGGTTGAAATTCAGCACTGTACTGAAGGCATTATTTAACCAAACTTAATTATGAGAATGTGATACTACCAGAATTACATACAGAAAAGAGATTATCGTCCCCTTGTTCAAATATTTTATTTATGAATGCATGGCAAACATGGGTAGAATTCTAGCCTGCTTCCCCATAAAACTGGAAAAGTAGCACTACAAGGATAAAAACTATTAAGGAATACAGAGGAAAGAAAAAAGTGGATACTGAATGTAAGCAGAAGCTATGATTTACTTGACATCTTACATGTTCATCAGACATAAAGAAAAGATCAGGAAAAATACAAATGTCCTGCACAAATTCAGCTTATCTTAGCTAGTATCTCTTACTTTAGTTAACTAATATTAACATAGACCTAAGGCATGAAAGATAATTGCAAATGAGCAATTAAACCAATGCATTACAAGTTACTGGGGGATGGGAAAAAAAAAAGCCCTAAGACTTTTGGACAGCAGTTCCTCACCAGGACCTATTCTACCTACAACAGGTAGATGGAGTGGAAAAAACAAACAAAAAAATGGAAGTCAGTGTAGTTCCAGCCATATCCAGTCTCTAAGAGAAAGGCAGGCCTGGTTCACCCACATACACCACCCATCCTCACCACCCAAGTGGGGGTACAGGAAGAGCAGGGGAGGTTGAGGTAGCTACTAGATGACAAATAGCATGGCATATAAGAACAGGAAACAAGACAAAAGCACCAAAGCCACATTAAACTAAAATCAATGTATCTAGTACTAAGACCCACTGCATTCAGTAGCCAGCAGTTCCATAATGTAACTGGTTTGTATGGCTCTTAGGATAATATCTGGATGTTTGGATGTGAGCGTGCAAGCACAAATGCTTGTTTTATAGTCACACACAATTACACACTCTCCATGTATATTTGTGTAAAAATTTAGTACTACAATATACTATCACTTAATCAACTCAACCCATAGTTATTGATATTTAAATAATAAATGTATGCTAATGTGAATGTTCCAAACTGAATCCAGAATGGCACTGAGAGAGCCCAACGTAAGTTGATACCACATGGATAAAAAAATAAAATGAAAATATCATGTGTGTTCTGATTGATATCCTAAGTACATAGTCCACAGCCGCAAAAACGCTAAGGTGAGCTGTCGCAATCCTGTCAGGTACACCATAACAGAAACATCCCAAGTAATCTCCAAAGCATATCCTGTTACAGCTGCTATATTAATGCGATGGAAATTAGTTTTCAATTCTGGATCTTGTTTTCTCCATCCCCCAGTGGCTTGTTTTGCATACCTAAAGTATACATAAAAATTAAAAATATAAGAGCGACTAAAAACTATAATGCACCTTGGTGCTATGGCAAAAATATTTCAAACCAAAACATGCCAGATAAAACTGTTTTGGGTTCTGGTTTATTAAAAACGAATCAGTGCTGGACATTCTTGAAAATTCAAGCTTCTCAATAATTCTGTTTTATAGAGTTTACTGTACTACATATCCCAATAATGTACTGTAATAGGAGGCATATACAACATCCAAGCTATAATTAAATACTGTACTGTAAACCTTTACAGTACATACAAACCCCTACAAGGACAGTTTTCCCCAAATACCAACCAGGTACTGTACATTTAAGTATGGCAGTGGTGTCTGACTACAAAATTTAGAGTCAAGTATCTATTACATTATGATGGATTAGTTTTTTAAATGAACTAAGGTCCCATAAAGGACAAGTTGCAAAGATTGCAACAAGTTACAAGTCAACCTAGTCTGTTCTGTAGCCAGTACTACAGACCAAGTGTTAATAAGGTACATATCATCCCTTATTTAACTGGATGTTTGTGAACCAGTTGGGTTTTTACAGCAAGTCACAGGGGATATGGTCATACTCCAGAAACAATTTAAATAAAATTTACTAACAATGCCTCCTTAGGTAAATATTATACAAATATTGTCATGAAATCTTAAAAATTAAAAATGAACTCCATTCAATTTCAGTATTTAGCAAAATATTCAAGGTATGGTAACAATATTTTGGCCTCTAATTCATGTTCAGTAATTTAACGATTTGAGAAATTACTGTACATTAAAAAATGGAAAACCATTCTGATCACAGCTAACATTTAAAATAACAAAATAATTATAGATGAGACAAGCCTAAAACTTTTGACACATTAACCCTCAAACTGATGCCTGTGGGGATCTTGCCACAACCTGTGGTCACTTTTAGTGTAATTTGTTTTGTACGTTTCTTTGTAACATATTTCCTAAATCTACACAATATAGAGTTCCCCCATGTGGCTGTAAATTTAAGTACATATAAGCATTAAATGCTAATGCATCAATATTCTAGCTAAGCTCATGAACAAATTCAAAACTTTATTGGGTATTAAAGTTCGATCTCATAGAGTTATCAGATACATTTTATAAAGTTATCAGATAACATCTTCTAAGTATAATAAGCAAAAATGTGGAAATTAATGCAAAGTAGAAATTGTTACTTTAACCCTTAAACTGTCCAAACGTAGATCTACGTTCGCATGCGTAGGGCTCCGACCTTGATTTCCCCATTTGAAAGCACGTAAAAAAAAAAAGTAGATCTACGTTCGGGGCCCCCCCGCACATGGACATAGATCTACATTTGGAGAGTTTAAGGGTTAATAAAAGCAAACAAGATTTATACAGTAGAGCCACACTTACACGGCAGCTTAGGTTCCAGGCTACCGCCATAAAGCAGAAATCGCCATAAAGTGGAATGCCCTTTTTTTCTAGATAAATTTACACTAACATATATTAAGTTAGCAATAGAACTAGGCATTAAAAACAATAAAAAAAAGTAAAATACACATTACTTACCTTAAAATATTTGTAGTCTTAATGTAGGGTGAGATGAGTAGTATTTATTGTAAGAAATCAAGTGTGGTATATATAGTAACCACAAAGGCTACCATACCAGGCCACCCTACCCACATATAATATTCTACATTTAAAGCGTCCCAGAGCAATAAAATGCATATACAGTTCACTCATTACTTAGCCTAAAATATTTGTAGTCTTAATGTAGGGTCAATGGTGAGTTAACAAGACAAAATGAGAGACAGAGACAGAGTGAGAAACAGAGCGAGAGCGAGAGACAGAGAGAGACAGAGAAAGAGAGAGAGAGAGAGAGAGAGAGAGAGAGAGAAAGAGAAAGAGAGAGAGAGAGAGAAAGAGAGAGAAAGGAGAAAGAGAGAAAGAGAAAGAGAGAAAGAGAGAGAAGAAGAGAAAGAGAAGAGAGAGAAAAGAAGAGAGAAAGAGAGAAGAGAAAGAGAGAAAGAGAAAAGAGAGAGAGAGAAGAGAGAGAAAAGAGAGAGAAAGAGAGAGAGGAGAAAAAGAGAGAGAAAGGAAAGAGAGAAGAGAAAGAGAGAGAGAGAGAGAGAGAGAGAGAGAGAGAGAGAGAGAGAGAAGAGAGAAAGAGAGAGAAGAGGAGAGAGAGAAAGGAGAGAAGAGAGAAAGAGAGAGAGAGGAAAGAAGGAGGAGAGAGAGAGAAAGAAAGAGAGGAAGAGAAGAGAAGAGAGGAGAGAGAGAAAGAGAGAAGAGAAGAGAAAGAGAGAGAGAAGAGAGAAAGAAAGAGAAAGAAGAGGGAGAAAGAGAGAGAGAGAGAAAGAGAGAGAAAGAGAGAGAAAGAGAGAGAAAGAGAGAAAGAGAGAAAGAGAGAGAAAGAGAGAGAAAGAGAGAGAAAGAGAGAGAAAGAGAGAAAGAGAAAAAGAAGAGAAGAGAAGAGAGAGAAAGAGAGAAGAGAAAGAGAAAGAAGAGAGAAGGAGAAAGAGAAGAGAGAGAAAGAGGAAAGAGAAAGAGAGAAAAGAGAAAGAGAGAACAAAGAGAAGAGAGAAGAGAGAGAGAAAGAGAGAGAGAAAGAGAAGAAAGAGAGAGAAAGAGAGAGAAAAGAGAGAGAAAGAGAAAGAGGAGAAGAGAGAAAGAGAGAGAAGAGAGAGAGAAAGAAGAGAGAGAGAGAAGAGAGAAAGAGAAAGAGAGAGAAGAGAGAGAGAAAGAAGAGAGGAAAAGAGAGAAAAGGTAAAGAAAAGAAGAGAAAGAAAGAAAGA